GGGGTGGCGAGGGCGGTTAGGCCAGGTTAGGCGCGTCCAGATTGGTGGTGTCGTATTGGGGTGCAAGCCTGCCGCGGGTCCGCTTCAGAGAGAGTGGCACGGGCCGAAAAGTTGGCGCGGCCGGTGCGGGCAAGGGCAGAGTGCCACAAGGCACACGCACGGGTGATTTAAATGGACCCGATCAGACCACATCAGGCGGGCGGCAGCAGCGACAGGCCACCACGCAGGCCGCGCGCCCTCACCCAGAAACGCCTCCTTCCAGGCTTTCGGGAGGCGCAGCAGCCCCTTGGGCGGCTTCGCGGCCGCGGCCAGGGCGTGCGGCTGTGAAGAGAGGGTGTCGCAATAGGGAAACAGCGCGAGGCCGCGCTGGCCACCCCCGGCCCCTGCGTCGCTCTCCGCCGCCGCCGCGCCGCCGCCGCGCTCGGCGAGCATCGTGAGGAGAAGCCTCAGGTCGTCCGGGCGCGTCACGCGGCTGCGCTGCGCGCCGATCGCGACGTCCACCGCTTCCAGCCGCGCCATGCGCCTCAAGGCGCGCCGCAGCGCGCGCGGGCCCGCGGCGCGGAGGCCGGCGGGCGTGAGGAGCGCCGCAATCAGGCTGGCGGAGGCACCCTCCGACCAGGGCCGGCAGGCGAGGCGGGCGCTCAGGCACGATGAGAGGTCGAGGCTCTCTGCAATGGCCTGAGGGCCCGCAGCGGGGGTGGGGCCGGAGGGGGCGGCGGGTGTCGAGGCAGCCGGAGGGGGTGCTGAGAAGGCGGGTCATGGAGGGGCGCGGCAGGGGGGGCGGGCGGAGCGCGTGTGCACGCTGCTATGCATGCAGTGTTTGCCGCCTTCACAAGCGACGGCTGCCTCACATGACACCGCATGCTCGCCGCTGGATGGGTGCAGGCATTACGGGCCATGGGCCTGCCCAGGGTGCAGCATCGCCATCATCATGTTTGATGCGCGCTGCGAGTGGGCGGTTGCGCGCCATGCACACGCAGCTTGCACTCCATGCACCCCGCGCAACCCACGCAGCCCATGCACCCATCCCAGCCCCACCTTGAGCGCCGGCAGCGGCAGCGCCGCCCAGTCGCGCCAGGGGCTGTGCTGCTCCGCCAGCTCCCCTGCGCAGCCTCCACAGGCCCCGCAGCCTCCCCGCGCAGGTGATCCGCCCCCGGCCCAGCGCCCGCAGCCGCTGCCGCCTGCCGCTGCGGCGCCGCTGCTCGAGGCCTCATCCCCCACGGGGCGGCCGGCAGCGGGCGTGCGCGTGACGCATAGGAATATGTCCTGCCCCTCGCCCAAAGCGTCAGCCAGCAAATCGCCCTGCTGCAAAATACGTCCCGATGCATCCTCGGCGGGCCCCAGGCACGACGAGCCGTCCGCGGCCGGCGCGAGCGCCACAATGCGCGCGGCGACCTTGCCGACGGTGCAGCGCGGGAAGAACGCCGCGCTGATTTCGCAGACGGCGGTCTGCACGGCGCCGGCGGCCGTCCTGTAGTGGACGTTCAACCGCCGCGGAGGGGCGGCGTCGGTGGCTGAGGCGTTGGGGCGGTCCACGGGGTGCCCGTGCACCCACGCGTCCAATCCGACGTCCTCGCCTTGGCATTCAATGCCGTTGGGGCCGGCTGCGTTGCCGGTCTCCATCTTGGGGCGTCCTGGCGGAGTGGGGTGCACCGTCAGCAACCCAAAGTCGGCAATCGCGGACGCAATCTCGCGTGTGCGTCCTGCCCCGCCCAGTACCTGCCCACCGCGCGAGCACTGAGACGTCGGCTTATTTTACTAAGGATCTCTGGTAGATAGCGGCTAGGTACGGGCCAGATTTCGGTTCTAGACTGCGCGCTGAGGCAGATCGGTGTCGCTGTGGGGATGCAGCAGGAAAGTCATAATTCTACACTCAGCGCAAATCGATCCCCACGATCAGGCACGATTTGGAGGCAGTTGCAGCGGACGCAAGATCCGTAAGGTTCGAGACAACGGCACCGAGTATAGATGGTTCAGGTAAACGCAGGTGGTTTTTGATACCTCTCTGCCGGAGGTATCCAAAAGAAACCACCGCCGCATTGGCGTGACCATCATGCGATGCTGGCTTGGACCACCTGGGAGGCTTGGACTGTGCACTGACAGGAGTGTGCACCATGCGCACACCTGGCACACACGCACCGTGAAAGCCAACCATTATGATATCCCTTCCAGGCAACAACTGTACCATAAAGTACTTTACTCAGCGGCAAGGGGGAACGAGAGTCAGCGCCGGCGCCAAGGCGCGCGAGGGCCAACTGGTGGCGCAACCAGGTTGCATGGGGGCTTGATCATGTTGCTTGTCGTTGGTGCAGGCGGCAGCCGTGGCAGGTGAGATCCGCCACAGCGGCATGGCTTCAAAGAAAACTCTCTGCGCCTGCTGAGCCCATTGATTGCGTAAGCTGCTGACAAGCCACACCCCACAAGGGAACTCGGGGGGAGGATTGATGCAAGGCAGCGCCGGCAGCGCTGGGGAAATTGGGTTTTTGCTGCGGTGGCCGCAGCTGCCACGCTCCCCCGTCATATTGACACGGCAAGGCAATGTCAAATGGTGCAACAAGCTGGAGTGCTTCAGCAACCAAGCAAACAGGCAAGTAGACAGACGCCAGAGCAAGCACACGACCCATCCATCATATCTGCTTAGAGACAAGGAGACAAGGAGAGAGCGGGCAAACGCAGGATGTGTGAGCATGCAAACAAGGAGGACAGGGAGGGCGAGCTTGCAGTTCAGGGAGAGCGAGCTTGCAGGGAATCAAGCCCCCCCTCTCCCCTGCCAAGATTATGGAGAGGGGGCCGATAACCCCACGTCATTGCGGATGGCGCGCACGTGCATATCTCCCCCAGACACCCCGGGCGGTGTGCGATCCTGGACACCTGCAGGTGGCTAGAGCCAAGCAGCTGCTTGGCTCCGTCCGGGCTCAGCAACTGCAATCCGGTCACTTTATGACGAGTAGGTGAGCCAGGGAGGTTTCACACGCACGGGGGGCTTTTACATAAGGCAGGACCACAGCATGCATACCAGCGTCCTCAGCAGGCAGCTAGCGCGCTCTTGCGCGGTGCATGTGCGAGCTGCACCGCATCATGGAAGAGTACCTGAGAATGGGCTTGCAAGCCGGAGCTCAGGGCATATTATGTTGCTACATTACATTGCATTACATGCCACGGTGTTTCCAGCAGTGGAGCCTCTTTGAAAGAGGAACAAACCCATGGCACTTTTGGTGACATAGGCCGGGCTGCGTCCGGACTTTACAAGTTGTCAGAGCGCTCCCCTCCCGAGACGCGCTCCAAGGCATGAACGCAAACCGTGCTGCCACAGCTGCTGCAAAAGGTGACGAATATGCAATTCTTAAGGGTGCCAGGCCGATGTGCCTGCGGCCTGTCACTCCTCATAGTGAGCCGCGCCGTGCGCCTGGCGGCCTTGGGCGCTGGTTTCTGCAATTGCTTCGAATTGCGAGGCCCCAGCAAGACATATGAAAAGACCCTGCCAATCCTTGCAAGACCAGCATGGCTTAAATTCTCAGCCTGGTCACAGCACTGCCCGATGCATCCTTTGGCGGCTTGGCTTGCGTGCGTGAAGCTGCCAGACTGGACACACAGTAATAATGGGCTGCACCCGTTGCCTCGAATGATCGCCTCTAAGGCACAGATAGAAATAATCTGGCGAATCCAATTTGAACCTCGCACGCAAATCGCCAAACTCGGCTCAGCAAGAGGTCCACACTGAACAGAAGGCTTATTCCCGGAGAGAGGCGTAAATGGCGCTCCAATAGCCTGTCCACGCCGGCCACGGGCATCAACAGTGTCACAACGAGGACATTTACAGCCTCGTAAGCTGGGCCTGACAGGGGTGGAGTGAGGTAACCCGGTGAGTGGCCGGCCAAGATCTCATAATGGTGCACCGTGGGTGCATTCGACAGGTTTCTGAGTGTACGGCCTCGGATAACCTGCCTGGGTCACATGCGTCACCGCACGGGACACGCATGAGTGGTGCGACCCTGCAGGCCGGCGCGACCCTACAGGCCGTCGCGATTCTGCGGTCATGAGGGGGTGGAGTACCCTGGCAGCGGCGTGCTGCAAAATCCTGACTGAGCATGCCCTTTCACTTCATTCGCCTGGCGCACAGGTTCTTGTCCCTGTTGAGTGGCATGCACGGTCGGCGGGTCAGGTGCATGGCTGGGCAGGCGCAAGCAGCGGCCGGGTTGCTGCCAGCAGCGGCGAGGCTGGCAGCGACGCTGGTGCTGCTGCTGCTAGTCGCAATGACTGCCGGCGTGGGTGCCGCCACCATCAGTCTGGAGGTTCAGAATGCCTTAGGTGCGAGCCTGCAGCAGCTTAGCAAGGATGGGTGCTTGCATGCGCGGCGGGGTGCTTTCAAGCAGCGCAGCCAGCCGACCGGGCTGCCGCGTTTTTCACGGGCGTCGTCCAGGAGCAGGCTGCTTCCAGGAGGACAGCGGCCTCGGCAGTGCAGTGTGGCTGGCGGCAGCAGCGGCGAGTGGGTTGGGTGCAGCAGGCGCTTCGGCGCAACGTGTCAAACGTTGACGCCAACGATTTGGGCCTCAGGCTGCTTGCCTGCAGCTTGTTTGCAAGTTGGGGCCCCACCAAGGTCGCACCCACCTTCGCAATCGCAATCGCCAAACCCATGGCAGACACCGGCCCCGGCAGCCTCCGCGCGACGCTGGCGCTCGTGCAGCCGACAGACACCACGACGATCTCGTTTGCCGCGAGCGTCGCCGCCAACTCCACCATCGACCTCGCGGCGTCGGGCTCCCTCGTGCTCCCCGTGCTGACCGGCGCCGGCTCCCTGACCGTCCGGGCGCCCGCCGGCCTGCCCATGATAATCAGGCAGCCGCTGGTCGCGGGCGGCAACGCGGAGACCGTCCTGGGCGACCGGCTTGCAACCGCCGCAGCCAACCCCGGGGTCGCGGTGGAGTTTGTCAACTTCCACTTCCAAGAGACAGCGTTTGCAGTGGTCGACGGGGAGCTGCGGTTCACCGACTGCATATTCACCTCGCAGGGGGCGGCCAACGGCATCGAGACTAAGAGCGCACTCAGAATCTCGGGCGACCGTCCGAAGCTGACGCTGAACCGCGTGACCATTCAGGGCTTCCGCAAGTGGACGCCCGGCAGCATCGCCACGCGGCTCGGGGCCGGCGCTGCGATCAACGTGGACCCCACGTTCTCCCTGGCCTCCTCGCTCCGCCCGACCGGCGTTGTGGCCACGGTGCGCGCTCATCACAAAGCGCCGGGAGGGCAGGGCCTGGCCCGCCATCTGCTTTTGCGCCCGCGTAGTCCTGCTCTGTCATTGACAATTATCGATTGGATGCCATGGCTGATCGTGCTCACCTAACCAGCTGTGCACAGCGGGCTGGCACTCTGCAAGGGCAAGCCCTCCTCAGACTGCTGCTTGCTCAGCTTGCCCTTTCTGCACGGCACCTCACCCCTCCCTTCTTCCCTGGCCCTCTGCCTCTCAGACAACTCCCTCGCCCAAGCCCTTCTTGCCAGCTCCCTGGCGGTCTGTGGACCCCCTCCCCTCCCCTCCCCTCC